ATCCCCTTTTCTTCCTGCCCTCAATCTTTCCCAGCATCAGGTTCTTTGCCAGTGAGTCAGCTCTTCCCATCAGGTGGCCAAAGTATTGGAGTGTCAACTTCAGTCCTTCCAATGAATATTTAGTGTTGATTTCATTTAGGAATGACTGGTTTGATCTCCTTGCTGTCCAAGGGACTCTTAAGAGTCTTCTCTCCAGCACCACAGTTCAAAAGCATCAGTTCTTTGGCACTCAGCCTTCTTTATGGTCCAGCTCTCACATCTGTACATAACTACTGGAAAAACCGTATTTTTGACAGTGTTAGAACCTCCATCTGTAGCTCTTCAGGCACTCTGTCTACCCGATCTAATCCCTTAAATCTATTCGTCACCTTATTAGGCATTAGTATAATTACTTTTATCATTATCATCACCCTCTTGATGCTTAGTATGAAAGTAGGATTATGTCCATTTTTTGAAAAAAGAAGCTGAAGCCCAAGTAATATATCCAAGGTAAAAAGCTAATATATAGTGGAGCTGAGATTTGAACCTTGATCTCTCTGACAGCAGGAGCCCAGTAATTTGCATTCACATTACGCTGCCTCCTCAGTGTGTGATTTTTAATTGTGAGTGTTAGTCACTCAGTCATGTCTGACTCTTTGCGACCCCATGAACTGTAGCCCGCCAGGCTCCTCTGTCCATGGGATTTCCCAGGCAAGAGTACTGGAATGGGTTGCCATTTCCTACTCCAGGGGATCTTCCCAACCCAGGGATTGAACCTGGGTCTCCTGCATTGCAGGCAGATCCTTTACCATCTGAGCCACTAGGGAAGATTTGTATATCTTTTAATACTTAAAGAAAATATGTGGTGGGAGAGGATGTGGGGAATGTTACTAGCTACTTCTCTTTTCCGTTGTATACCCAAGTCATCTCATTATAGGAAAAAAGTTTCTGCTGGTGGAAGCACAGGCTGGAATCAAGATTTCTGGGAGAAATATCAGTAACCTCAGATATGCAGATGACACCACCGTATGGCAGAAAGTGAAGAACTAAAGAGCCTCTTGAGGAAAGTGAAAGAGGACAGTGAAAAAGTTGGCTTAAAGCTCAACATTCAGAAAACTAAGATCATGGCATCCAGTCCCATCACTTCATAGCAAATAGATGGGGAAACAGTGGCTGACTTTATTTTTCTGGGCTCCAAAATCACTGCAGATGGTGATTGCAGCCATGAAATTAAAAGACGTTTACTCCTTGGAAGGAAAGTTACTACCAACCTAGACAGCATATTAAAAAGCAGAGACATTACTTTGCCAACAGAGGTCCATCTGGTCAAGGCTATTGGTTTTTCCAGTAGTCATGTATAGATGTGAGAGTTGGACTGTAAAGAAAGCTGAGCGCCAAAGAATTGATGCTTTTGAACTGTGGTGTTGGAGAAGACTCTTGAGAGTCCCTTGGACTGCAAGGAGATCCAACCAGTCCATTCTAAAGGAGATCAGTCCTGGGTGCTCATTGGAAGGACTGATGTTGAAGCTGAAACTCTAGTACTTTGGCCACCTGATAGGAAGAGCTGACTGACTGAAAAAGACCTGATGCTGGGAAAGATTGAGGGCAGGAGGAGAAGGGGAGACAGAGGATGAGATGGTTGGATGGCATCACTGACTCGATGGACATGGGTTTGGGTGAACTCCGGGAGTTGGTGATGGACAGGGAGGCCTGGCATGCTACGGTTCATGGGGTCACAAAGAGTCGGACACAATTGAGCAACTGAACTGAACACAAAGATGAGCTCTTTTTACTCAGTAGTTCAAATGAAATACATGGGGTCGAAAAGAATCACACTGAAGTGACTTAGCATAGTTATATGTGGGACGAAAGTTAGAATCCTCATCTCTGCCAGCACCAAATGAATACTTGAGGCAAATAAAGAACAGTAGACTTGGGGCCTCTACACTCTGGAGATCTTCTGTTGCTTCTTGTAAAAGACCTGGGAGAAGAGTAAAGTAATCCTGAGGCTTTCCAGTACATATGCCCTCCTTTTTATTGCCTCCCTTTCTGTTGCTTGAAGTGAAGTGTTAGTTTCTCAGTCGTGTCTGACTGTCTGTGACCCAGTGGACTGTAGCCTGCCAGGCTCCTCTGTCCATGGGATTCTCCGGGCAAGAATACTGGAGCGGGTAGTCATTCCCTTCTCCAGGGGATCTTCCCGACCCAGGGATGGAACCCAGGTCTCCTGCACTGCAGGCAAATTCTTTACCACCTGAGCCACCAGGTGAGCATGCTCTTAGGCTCCCTTGACAGAGAATAACAGGCACATTGTCTTATAACAGCACAGATACCATAGCAGGTAGTATGCAAGTTTGAACTGTAGGCTTCTTTGAACAGAAAGCACATTCTTGATGTGGTATAGTGTACTCATTCTTGTCTGGAGGCGCCATCTACATAATCTTTTCTTGTTCTTTTTATGGATTTTTATTTTTCAATGCATTTTAAATCTGCACTACTGTTGCTGTTATTCAGGTCGAATTACTTTTTCTTTTTTTTAAATAGAAGTAAGTAGGGACCAGAATTCCCTCAATCCAAATCCTGGCCCTGCTGCTATAAACTCTGTGATCTTGAACAAATTAAATTATCTAACTTTCTGAGCCTCAGTACCCCCATCTTTAAGGTAGTTGTGGAGAGAGACTACGCAAAGCTAAAAAGCTTTTGTACAGCAAAGGAAATTATCAACAAAACAAAAACACCACCTATTGAATGGGAGAAGATATTTGCAAATGATATAACCAACTCAGCATCAAATAAACACCCCAGTTGAAAAAATGAACAGAAGTTCTAGACATTTTTCCAAAGAAGGTGTACAGATGGACAACAGGCACATAAGAGATGCTCAACACCACTGGTCATCAGGGAATACAAGTTAAAGCTGCAATAAGATGTCACTTTACACTTACCGTGTTGGCTGTTAAAGAGACCAAATAACATGTGTTGGCAAGGATGTAATCTGGAGAAAAGGGAACCCTTATGGACTGTTGGTGGGAATATAAACTGGTACAACCACTATGAAAAACAGTATGGAGATTCCTCAAAAAATTAAAAACAGGGCTACTGTGTGATCCAGAAATTCCAGTCCTGGGTATTTATCTGACAAAAGCTAATTCAGAAAGAGAGATGAGCCCCTGTGTTCATTGCAGCATTATTTACAAAAGCTGTAAACTTAGGAAGCAAACTTAGTGCCTGTTAGGAGATAAATGGATGAAGAAGATGTGGTTATATTATATATCTGTGTGTGTGTGTGTGTGTGTGTGTGTGTGTGTGTGTAATGGAATATTACTAATTCTTAACAAAGAATGGAATCTTGTCATTTTTGATGTGGATGGATCTAGAGGGCATTATGCTAAATGAAATGTCAGAGAAAGACAAATACTGTGTGACTTCACATATGTGTGAAATCTAAAAAACAAATGAACAAACATAAAACTGAAAAAAAGTCATAGACACAAAGAACAAACAGGTAGTTGCCAGAGGGGAGGTGGGCAGGAGGAGGAAGGAAATAGATGAGAGTTTAAGAAGTAACTTCCAGTTGTAAAATAAATGATTCACAAGTATGAAATGTATAGTGTGGGGAATATAGTTAATAACTCCTATCTTTGTATGATGACATATCATGACTAGATTTATCATGGTGATCGTTTTGAAATGTATAGGACTGTTGAACCACCAAATTGTGTAACAGGAACTGACATGATGTTGTATGTCAACTATACTTCAGATACAAATAAGCTCAGAAAAAGAGATCAGATTTTGTGGTCACCATAGATAGGGCAGAGGTGGCTGGTGGAATTGGATGAAGGCAGTCAAAAGGTATAAACTCCCAGCAAAAGACTCAGGTTCAATCCCTGGGTTGAGAAGATCCCCTGGGAGGAGGGCATAGCAATCAACTCCAGTATTCTTGCCTAGAGAATTCCATGGACAGAGGAGCCTGGCAGGCTACAGTTCATGGGGTCACAAAGAGTCGGACACGACTGAGTGACTTTCAGTCACTTCACTGTAAGATAAATGAGTACTAGCGATGTAACGTACAACATGATCAGTATAACCAATACTGCATATGTTATGTATGAAAGTTATTAGGAGTGTACATCCTAAGAGCCCTCATCAGAAGGAAAAATACATGTTTAAAATGTAATTTTAAAATACATTTAATTTTGTATCTATATGAAATGATGGATGTTCACTAAACTTACTAAAATAATCACTTCATGATGTATGTAAGTCAAATCATTATGCTTTACACCTTAAACTTAGGCAGAATATACTCTGTTAGTTGCTCAGTCGTGTCTAACTCTTTGCAACCCCTGGACAATAGCCCACTAGGCTTCTCTTTGTCCATGAAATTACTGGAGTGGGTTGCCATTGCTTTCTCCAGGGGATCTTCCGAAGCCAGGGATTGAATCCAGGTCTCCTGCATCTCAGTCAGGCAGACTCCTTACCATCTGAGCCACCAGGGAAGCAAAAACTTATGCAGAGGTGTACGTCAATTATATCAGTAAAAATTGAAAAAATAAAATTTATGTGGAAATACAAAGGGAAGAAATAAATAAGTAAAAAGATAGTTAAGGGGACTAGATGAAATGCCATATTTCAGTTCCCTACCTTTTAAATACCATATTTTAAAAGTACCCTCTTGCCTCGTACTTTAAAAATGTTAATTTCCATATTGCCTTCCTCAGGCATATTGGAAAGTCTGTATTTCCACATTGCATGCTTTCTGTTACTCATAGCTATAGGTCATTTTTTTTTTTTCCGATTCCAGAATGACTTTGAAAATCAAATGAAAAGGTATGAGGAAATTATTGTTTCTAAGGAAATAAATGAGATAGCATTCTGATTTGTTTAAAGTACAGACTTCTTATTTACTTTGACTTCATTATAAGTACCTTTATATCTTAATGATAAATCTCAAGCTATAGGTCTATACTGCACTGTCTTAAATAATTCTACTTTCCCATTTCTTTGACCTTCCTTTCCAGGTTAAAAGATGGAGGCTGGCTCAGTGGTTCGAGCCATCTTTGACTTCTGCCCTAGTGTGTCAGAAGAACTGCCACTCTTTGTGGGAGATATTATTGAGGTATTGGCAGTGGTGGATGAATTTTGGCTTCTAGGAAAGAAAGAGGATGTGACAGGTAAGAGGCTTATGATTCTTCACATTCAAAATAGGCCATAGGCCCTCCCTTCTTTCTATAGTTTTATGGCAAGCCCAATAAATAAACTTCAGATCCTTTTGTGTTTTCTGTATGTGTTTGCCGTGGTTTCTACCAGCGAGGAGAGAACGTCTGTTATCATTGCATCTCTCCTTGCAGGTTCCTTTAAAAGGTTGACGTGGTTAGGTACCAGCTGCCCTCCTAAATCCCTGGGTGACCTAAATTTATTAAAGTTGCTGTGTACCCTAGATGCACTTATCTCCCACTTTGCGTGTGCCTGGTTTCCTTTTTTCTATTATTGAAAACATAGATTAGCACTAGTTTCTTTCATGAATTCAGGAGGAGGCTAAAAGTTCTTCTCTCACAACATGCATCTGTATTAAATCCAGCCTTAACTTGCATGTATTTATGTACGTCTGGCTTGGAGTATATCTTACAGTCCTGAGAACAGACTCTTTTGATACTTAACCCATATTTGGGGGATAATAGATTATTTCCCGGTAGATGTGATACCTCAGCTAGGATAAATATGGTGTGTCAGAGTTAGCAAGTCAAAGAGGGTAGGTAGAGAGGATTGCTTATTCAGGGGCCCTGGATCAAGAGGAAAAGAGCATGGAGGAACTGAGAAAAGTTCAGTCTGGCATGAGGTGGGGGAGATGGCATAGGGAGATGAACAGAGATTAGATCATGGAGGACAGCGCATGCTATGGAGGGGGGTTATGGAAACAGGCTGCTGTAAACGTGCTTCAAGCACAGTTAGACTTGTATTTTACAAAACTCTCTGCTTCAAAGTGAAGAGTGATAGGAAAGGGCAAAGCCAAAAGCAGGGAGGCGAGATGGGAAGTCGTTGCATCGAGGTGAGAAGTAGCTGTGGCTTGGACCGAGGTGATGCTGAGATAGTGGACAGATGCAAGAGATATATAGAAGGTGGAATCAGCTAAACTTTCTGATGCTTTCCAGCTGACAGGCCTGTCTATCTACTATTACCTGTTAAAACCCCGCCCATCTTCAGACTCAACTGTAGTTTTTTTCCATAAAATTTTTCATTTTCTTCCTAACCCGTTTTCTGCCTTCTCTGAACTTCCATAGCAATTTGTATACCTATGAGTTGACACTGGATTTCAGACTGAAATATTGCTTATGTCTGAACTAGATTTTGTGTCTGAACTAGATTTTAAGATCTTTCAGGGCCAAGACTGTCTTACTGTTTTTCCCGTCTGCAGTGTGCCTTTGATAGAGTGACACCCATTAAATGCTTATTGGATTGAATTGCACTCTCTGTGTTCTGCAGGCCCCCAATTTTGTGCATTGCACATTTTCTACAATAGATTTTCCAGCTATGAGTACTCAGTGAATTTTTAATTTGGGGTCTATAAATGAGCTCAGAAAAAAGTTTTTTGTCCTGGTATACGAACAGAAAAAAAGGAATTTTATTTTTATTTATTTATTTTTTTAAAAAAGGAATTTTAATACTGGAAATGTTTGCTTTTATTTTCAGGACAGTTCCCCAGCAGTTTTGTAGAAGTTGTTACCATTCCCAGTCTAAAAGAGGGTGAGAGACTCTATGTCTGTATCTGTGAATTTACATCCCTAGAGCTGAACAGTCTTCCTCTCCATCGAGGTAAGTTGATCACCCAAGAGTAGTCTGTTTAAAATAATACTGGTGGGGTCAGTCCATTTTGACAACTCGCTCTTTTTTTAATTTTTCTAAGTAAGTAACCTCTAGAGAGTCTTCAATAATACTAAGACAGAGCTGACAGTAATAAACCCTTATCTTTGAGTAACATTTTATAATTTCTACAGTATTTTTTTTCTCACAAATATAGTCTCATTTCATTCTCTGTATCTTGTGTAGTCAAGTCTTATGTACTAAGGCTTGTTTATTAATGTACAGTAATAGAGCAGGAATTGTGGTTTGCAAATTAAGGCAGAGATGCGAAACATTCCCATTCCTACCCAACTATTAGGTAATGTTATTAAAGTTCTCATCAGAACAGGTTTAAAAGGAAGTGGTTTTAAACAGATGGTCATAGTCATGTCTCAAGTATTTCTTGTATTCAAGTATTTCTTGCTTCATGTACTCTGAAAGACTTAAGAATGTCTAAAGAGAATGACTAAACCATTTTAGCACACGTCCGTCCGTCCATACATTTCTGTACAAGCACAGAAACCAGTAGTGTTCCACGAACTGAGGCTTATGATCAGTGCAGTTTTGTGACTCACAGCAGTCATCAGAATTGTATGATTTATTGGATATATTAATATTGTTATTCTTTTGAGTATGTCTCTAAAGGGATAGATGTAATTTCCTTTTCTTTTCTTTTTTGGGCCATACCTCATGGCATGTGGGATCTTAGTTCCCTACCAGGGATCAAACCCATGCCTCCTGCAATGGAAACACAGTCTCTTCACCACTGGACCACCAGGGAAGTCCTGGAATAGGCTTAATTTCTTAAACCATGTACACATATGAAAGAGAGTGTGCACAGAGGTGGGGAGAGAGACCAAGCAAACTCCCTAACCTTTATTCAGTGAGAAGAAAGGAAAAGTGGCCTTTGACCTTAATCCTCAAAATTAGTTGTCAGTTTCTTGTCTTCACTTTACATTGAGTCCTACCTCTGTTCTGAATACATTTTTGCCAAATCAGTGTTGCAAAGACAGAAATAGAGGAAGATGTTATAGCAGGGGACATTATCTGTTCATACTCAAAGTTCTTCCATTGGAGGATTGAGTTCACGTCAGTCAGACCAGTCAGAAGGTGTGGAGAAAGGGCCAGAGCCCAGTGGCTAACAACATTGATAAGACTTTGTTATCTATTATTCTGTGTGTAACAGTATACTATATGGGAATATACAGTATGTCTACAACATTTAAGGAATTTGAGAATGTGGCTTCTGGAATTAGTTTGTTTACTTCATATTATATCTTGTGTAGTCTTTCCTGATGGCTTAGTTAGTAAAGAATCCACAGGCAGTGCATGAGACATGGAATATGTGGGTTCGATTCCTGGGTCAGGAAGATCCCCTGGAGAGCGAAATGACAACCCACTCCAGCATTCTTGCCTGAAAAATCCATGGGCATGGACAGAGGAGCCAGGTGGGCTACAGACCATGGAGTCTCAAAGAGTTGGACATGGCTGAGAGACTAAGCACAAAGTTGTCTTAGGTACTAAACAGATTTTCTGCTGAATGCTTCCCTTGAGAAGACTGGACTAATGTGTTGTGAACTTGCTTTAAAGTTAAAATCCACCTCAGGAATCCCAGGGCCGCCCAAGGGATTCTCATGAAGACCCTGGTGTGGATCTTTCAGCCACAAGTCACCTTTCTGAAGACTGACTCAAGGTCGGGCTGGATCCTGGAGCCTGTACATCTTATCTTAACTAGCTTTTAACAAGTTAACCTGAGGAGTTCCTCTGTTCCTGGGATTCTCCAGGCAAGGATACTGGAGTGGGTTGCCATGCCTTTCTCCAGGGAATCTTCCTGGTGCAAGGATCAAACCGAGTCTCTTAAGTCTCCTGCACTGGGAGGTGGGTTCTTTACCACTAGCACCACCCGGGAAGCCCCTTAAAAACATAAGCAGATCTCAAAAGGAAAGAATGTTGGGCAGGGGGTGCATAGGAAAAGAGAGAATAGAAAGAGATATATTATTAATGGTTTTATCTTGTTCTCTTCTCTGATACTCTGCTGTCTGCCAGTTAACACGCTGACTATTCAGCTTTCTTTCCTTCTATGCTTTACACATCTTTTAGTTCTGTATGTCTTCTGATTAGGACATATAGCCTTTGAAGATGGGGAAGTTAGGTATATGTATACAATATTTATTTTTCTGGGAAGTTTAGCATGAGACACAGAAATGATTTTAATTCCTCTGATTTTCTTTTCTTTTTTTTTAACTACATATGGTTTATGAAGATCAGTGTCTCTGTTCATGAGTGTATACATTCCTTTTTCCCTGTCCTCTAGTACTATTAATCCAGTTCCCTGTTGTTTCTTTACCTTTCCTTTGATCCTTCAGTGTAGCAGTGAAGCTTCTCCTCTTCTGTGATTTAGTGTATGTCGAGAGGGATTTGGAAACCTTTAAGAGCATGTGGGATAATGTTTGAGATCTGGTTTGTTTTACCATGCTACCTTTAGTTGTTATTTACTTACCTTTCAGAAGTATCGCTGAAATAAGAGAAAAAGTATATCTATTTTAACTATAAAATTATATTTTATATGTATGTATAATTAATAAATATATATTTTATATAGTTAGAGCTGGCAGTATAGTTTAGGGGGTAAGAATTCTGATGTTCCTAGATTTATTTATTTATTTTCAATTTTCTATTCTTTATTGTTTATTATATACATGTTTTACAATTCACTTTACTTCAGTTGGACAGATAGCTTTTTACTTAAAGATTTATCCATTTAAAAACAAGTGACTAACAAAAAAAATGTTGACCACTGTTTCATAGATTTCTTATTTCTATGTGCAATGGGTATACATGTAACACTTTTAAAATGCTTACAGTAAAAGTAGAAGAGATTTTTGAAAATGTTGATTTTCAAAGTAATCCACTTACAGCTCAGGATGAGGCTTCTATGTATTGCTCTTTTTTTTTTCCTCTGTTTATGTTCTTTCCTCCATGTACATTTTGCTTTTTGATATTAACTATTAATGTGGAACTAAATGCTTTACACATTCTGGGTTCAGCATCTTAGTCACATCTCTCCTACTGTACCATGTACTCTGTAGCATTCATCCATAACTCTTTCACTTCCTTAAAATACCTCAGTTGTCACCACCACAGTGCCTTTGCATATGATAACCTCACCACCTTTGCATGGTGGTACAAACAGATCATTCAAGTTTTAGCCCCAGTGAAACTTCCTCAAAAGGGTTCTGATCTCTCAGGTTAGATATTAGTGGCATACAACCGTATGCCACTCTGGACTATTTTCCAGGCAAGAACATTGGAGTGGGTTGCCATTTCCTTCTCCAGGCTGATGTTCCTAGATTTAAATCCAGCTTCACAACTCAGTAGCTATTGACTTTGGTCTAATTACTTAAGTTCTCTTGGCCTCAGTGTCCTTATCTACAAATGAGAATACCTACCTCAGGGTAGTCATGAGGACCAAATGAGGTTATACATTAAAGCATCTGGCACAGGGTAAGCACTCAGTAAAAATTAGCTATTTCATTGTTCTCATCCTGGAGCTCATAAATGTGCTTCAGGGGGCCTCGTTTCTTGATAATTATGTGAAGTTTTGTGTGTATCTACATTTTCCAGGGAGATTATATTTGGAATGAAAACCAGCAGTGGTTCTTCCAGCAGGTGTCACCCTTTCTCCTTTCCCTGAAGCTTCCCATTTGTCTTGGTTTGTTCCCTATAGTTTTGAGTTATATTTAAATTCAGAAACAAGTTTGTCTCTTAGATCAATGCGAGTGCTGTCCTAAAAAATACGGGGCCGGGGGGCGGGTGGCGGAAAGAGAGAGACAACAGAAAACAAAATGAGAGTGTGGCAAAGAAAAGACAGTGAAAGAGGAGAGAAAAAAAAAGAGTGATGAAAGAGAGTGATGAAATATTTAATTGCCTTACACAATACAGGATGCTTATTCCTTGCTTACAACCCCATGCTTCTAGACTACCTCCCTACCCCCAAAAAAGACCAATAAAATTTAAATTGATAAATTTATTTATAAATAGATAAATGATAATTATCACTTAAAGCACTTGTGTCATAAATTTCTGGTGTCCTGCACGTGAGATATCAGTATTAAGGTTCTGATACGGCTCATGTGGACGCCTGGGTAAAGAGTGTGGTCAGTCTGCATAGAGCAGAGTCCCTGGGCGCTAGGATTCAGTGAGGACCTAATACCTGCAGAGCCAGACTACTTGTATTCAGAATCTAGGACTTTCTTATCATCTTATTCTTAATGCATTTCTTGTTCAAATATAAAATAAAAATTTAACCAGAAGAAACAAGCACTGTGGTGACTGAGATTAATTGTCTATAAATAAAAGGCTCAGGCTGACCCTAAGAGTCACCCCACTTCTTATTTTTCTATTCTCAAAATCTGGTCGCTGTATTCCAGGAGTTCCTCATATTGTTGTTTTTGAAGTATGGAAATGACCACCAAGTAGCCTCCATTCCTAAAGAATCAGAATGCAAAAAACTCAGTAACAGGGCTATATAAAATAAAAGTATTCAACAAAATTATCTCTGAAGTACTTTTCAGGGACTAAATTGTGACTTTAAAAAAAAATTCACCTTTATATATAGAAATAATCAACAGAATGACAGTCTGCAGATAATAAAGCCTATCAAAACACTCACTCAACAGAAAATAGGGACAGAAATCCTACTGTAAGGATTTCATAGAGATCTGGCATTACAAGAAAATATTCTGATTCTGCAGCTTTAAAAAAGCCAGTTCGTTTCGAAGCCAGTAGAGTGGGAGTTATGACACACTTTTATTTTTGTTCACTAAAAGGCTTGTTGTGTCTGAACAGTAGCTGTGTCTCCAGTGAGTTTCTTCTGTGGTCCTGTTGGAATGGGGAAAAGTCGCTGGTAATTCTCAGGACCCCAAGCTCTGACCAATGGGATATTGAATCAGAAATTAAAGGGAAAATAAAAATACAGGACCAAGACCCTATTTCTCAGGAACATCTAAGCAAATCAGTATGAAATCAGTGAGAATGATTTAGTGCCTACCACTAAATGCAAAAATCTTACATTAGGAGTTGTGTAGTCTATAAATATACAAGTGTCAAAATTGTTGATATAAGTGATCATTTCTTTAGTAGACTACAGATGACCAAGATATGTATAGACCTCTAAAGTTTATTAGAGAAATATACTAAGGTTTCGGACGGAGAGGCTTGTCTAGGAGACAATGAAAGTCCCCTTGTGTGGAATTAGGCTCTCAGAGGTGAGATAATATTGTATAGCTGGGGATGGGGCAGGGGGAGGTTATATCTGGATGTGAATGCCTGGTTGCATTGAGGTGAAAACATAAGAACAGCCTTTTGGTAGTTTGGGCTTCCTGGTAGCTCAGCTGGTAAAGAATCTGCCTGCAATTCAGGGTTTGATCCCTGGGTTGGGAAGATCCCCTGGAGAAGGGAAAGGTTACCCACTCCAGTATTCTGGCCTGGAGAATTCCATGAACTGTATAGTCCATGGGGTCACAAAGAGTCAGACACGACTGAGTGACTTTCACGAACACTTTCTTTTGGTAGCTTAGTAACTAAATCTCTTTGGAGAACATTCAGAGCAAGCTTATTTTCTTTTAATATATTTCAGGTAGTAAAAATAGGATTATTATAGAAGAATCCTTGGTTAATAGGAAGAAGGCTTCGTGTCCCATGGTAAACATTTGAGCAGGGGAAGGGTATGATAAAATTGGTATGTTTATAGTCTTAGTTTGGTATATTGGAAGAGACAGTGTCTGGGAAAAGCTTTAAAAGAATGAGATGATGAGAGTTGGACTAGATGGTAGCAAAGAGCAAGTGATGAACGGAATAAATGTTTTGAGAGAAGAAATGATAGAACAGAAGGAAATTGGCAGCGTGGAGCTAGTTTTGGAGGGAAGATATATTTATTGGGAAATTGAAGAATCTTCACTAATAATGAAGTTGATATTGAGTGCTTGCTGTGTGAAAGGCATTATACCAGATTCTTGAAACAAAAAAGAGAAGTGGTACCTGCCAGTATTGCATCTAATTCACTTGGTAAGAAGATAGTCAGATTTAATTTGTATAAAAAGAGCATATAAATTGATACCCTAAATGATAATCCAACATTCAGGTATGCTTGACTATAAAAGACCTCATGATTTTGCCAGGTTCTTTGCTTTCTTGGTCTTATTTTACTTGGGCCAGTTGCATTCCTTAATCACCTCTACTCATGAAAGGGAAACTGACTCAGATGTTAAGAAAGTTAAAAAAAATTAAAATTGATAATCTACAAAATGAATAGTTCATAATTAGAAAATTAAAAGTTTGCTGCAAAACAATTTGCTGCAAAACTTATAGAGGAATTTTTTAAACTGGGGTGAATCATAATTGGTTGAATTATAGTTTTTTTTTTTTCCACACCTCACCTTCTTCAGCAGTAAGATAGATGCTAACTATTTAGTGTATATTTTGTGATAATAGCTTGAAACAACAATATTGAAATTACTGATTATTTTCAAAAACAAAGTCCTGATTACTTGAACACTCTTTAGAGATTTCATTATGATGTATTTTTAGGATAAGGATAGGAGGGACTTTGAAGATTTCTTCCTTTGCTAATTTTTGATATTGAGTATAACTAGTGTGACAAATTAGATCAATCTATTCAAAGGCTTCTAGTGGAAATGAATATATTCTCCATCATTTATAAATAAATTCAGTGGTACAAACTTGTTGATAGTAGCATTTCTCAACCTTTTTGATCCTAGGATTCATTTACATTCTTAGAATTTTTGAGAACCTAAAGAGTACTTGCTTCTGTGAGTCTGTTTATATTTACATTAGCTATTAAAGCTGAGAATTTTTTTAAATTTTCAATTTATTTTTAAAATGCATATTAACATTAATAACAAGAATAACATTTTATGAAAAATAAGTAGTTTCCTAAACAAAAAAATTTAGTGAGAATAGTAACATTTGTTTACATTTTTTGCAGATATCTTTAATATTTGGTTTAGTAGAAGAAATCTAGGGTATTTCCTGGTGGTCCAGTAGGTAGGACTCTGTGCTTTTGCTGCTGAGGGTGCAAGTTCAATCCCTGGTCGAGGAACGAAGATCCTGCAAGCCATGCAATGCACTCAACAGTTTTTTAAAAATTTAATTTAAAAATAGAAGAAATCTAGATTATTTTATTTGAATCAGTATTCAGTTTGCCACATTACATTGTTTTGGATGAAGTGGGAAAAAAAAATAGTTTTGACCCCACAGACCCTCTGAAAGATCTTAGGAATCCACCCCCAGGGTTTTGAGGACCACATTTTGGAAACCACAGGTTTACAGGAGTGTTCACTCTATTTTCACCAAATTGTCAAAAAGTGTTTAAGCCCTGAAAACTCTAGATTTACATTCCCTTGAATCTGGTAGGTATTTAAGATGATGAATTGCACTGTTACTTATACCTCTATCCTCCTGGGGTGATAATGGAAGTCATTATCTCTGCTTCTCTTCTCTTTCTTTAGGTGACCTAGTGATTCTCGATGGCACTCTCACTGGTGGCTGGCTGCAGGGCCGAAACTGCTGGGGTGCCCGGGGCTTCTTCCCAGCCTCATGTGTTAGGGAGCTCTGCCTCTCCTCACAGAGTCAGCAGTGGCACTCACAGAGTGCTCTTCTCCAGATTCCCGAATATTCCATGGGACAAGCCCGGGCGCTGATGGGGCTTTCTGCCCAGCTGGATGAGGAGCTGGACTTCAGAGAAGGGGATGTGATTACCATTATTGGAATTCCTGAGCCAGGCTGGTTTGAAGGGGAACTAGAGGGTCGAAGAGGCATTTTTCCAGAAGGTTTTGTAGAGCTTTTGGGGCCCCTGAGGACTGTGGATGAATCGGTAAGTTCTGGAAATTGTGATGATGGCATTAGTAACGGTGAGGTAGACACCAGTACAGCAGAAGAGAAAGAGGCAGAAGAGGACAGTGAGCAGCCGGGCACCTACGGAATTGCCCTCTACAGATTCCAGGCCCTGGAGCCAAATGAGCTGGATTTTGAAGTAGGTGATAAAATCCGAATCCTGGGCACCCTGGAAGATGGCTGGCTCGAAGGGTCACTGAAGGGCAGGACAGGCATCTTTCCTTACCGTTTTGTAAAGTTATGTCCTCAAACAAGGGTGGAGGAAACCATGGATCTGCCACAGGAGAGCAACCTCACCAACATTCCTGACACACCTTTGGACTGTTCGGAGAACTCCTTAGAAGCAGAAGGAAAAAGACATGAATTTCATGAGTATAAAGCAGAGAAGTCCAACTGTGTTATTTCTGAAACATCCACTTCTACCCTGGAGCACCTGACTTCTGAGTGTGAAGAAAGTAAACAGTCTCACTGGGACACGGACCCCTCAGGAGGGCCCCCGAGAAGCCCAAGTGCAGGGCACGAGCAGCTTCTTGTCAAATGGTCTTCCACGAAGGATCCTTCAGAGGTTGTCAATGGTGTTGCGTCCCAACCTCCACTACTTTTTCATCCTGAATTGCAGAGAAACCAGTATTATTCTATGAGAGGAGGAAGCCACCCGAGCCCAGACCAGTATTCTGACTCTCTCCCTCTAGAAGCAAGGACTCGAGACTACTCCAGCCTACCTCCCAGAAAAACTTCATATTCCCAGCCGAAAACCCTGCAGAAGCCAGGGCCACCTCCTCACAGCACCTCTTCCCTCACTGCCTCCAGGGCAGTCAGACCCAGCCAGTTGAGCTCTCAGCTCCAGGGCCTGGCAAGATGTGTAAAGAAGCACTGCACACCCAAAGAAAGTGCTTCCAGCTTCTGCTCCGCCCCAGACAGATCAGAGATGAAGCCTGGTCTGCAAGACAAGGCACCTGCCCTGGAAGCCATGACACAGTCACAAGGAGAAGGCAGCACGGACCTGGATTCAAAGTTGACACAACAACTGATAGAGTTTGAGAAGAGCTTGTCAGGGCCCTGCCCAGAACCAGATAAAATTTTGCGCCACTTTTCAATCATGGACTTTAACTCCGAAAAGGATATTTTCCGAGGTTCCTCGAAGCTAATGACTCAGCAGGAGTTGCCTGAAAGAAGAAAAGCTCTAAGGCCCCCACCGCCCCGTCCCTGTACTCCAGCATCCACTCCTCCGCATGTGCTGGGAGACCAGAACCTGAGACTGGATCCACCCTTGGCAATGAGACCCTCTCGCCCAGCTCCCCTGCCTCCCTCGGCCCAGCAGAGAACAAATGCAGTACCCCCCAAGCTCTTAATCTGTAACCGTCCTGGCTGGGAGAGCCTAGAAAAGGAGGGCCCTGAGAACATGGACAAGACTTTGGACCAAACTTCCCAGTGTCCCTTGGTCTTGGTGAGGATTCAGGAGATGGAACAGGACTTGGATATGTGCCGCAGGGCTCAGGAAGACCTCAACTTACTGCTGGAGGAGAAGCAAGAGGAATCACTGAGGGCAGAGACCCTTCAGAATCTTGAGTTCTATGAGAGTAACATTGAGAGTTTGAACATGGAACTCCAACAACTTAGAGGTAAGTGATTAGAAGATAGTATATACTTGTTTCTTGATAGCCTCAAGTCCAAATAACAGCCTACCCGAGTTTTTACGGATATGTTACCATTTTTGATGGACAACTAAGGAATGATTTGCCTTTTATTTATTTATTTGGCTATGCTGCATCTTTGTTGCTGCATGGGCTTTTCTCTAGTTTTGGCCAGCATGGGCTGCTCTCTGGTTGTGGTCCAGGGACTTCTCATTGTGGCAGTTTTCTTGTCACAGAGTGCAGGCTCTAGAGCGTACGGGCTTCAGTTGTGGCTCCTGGGCTCTCAGCACAGGCTTAGTAGTTGTGGCGCATGGACTTAGTGGTGTTCACCAGAATACTGGTGTATTCTCCAGTTGTGTTCACCAGACTGCCAGAAGAAATAATTTATAAAGTAGGAAAAGAGTTAGACTTAGCAACTGGTCTAGGGCCCAAGGAGAGCATGACTGTGCATGCCCTTTGGCATATGTGCTAGAAAGCTCTAAACCTATATCTCCTTAAGAAAGTCAGTAATGAAACGCACTCTGTGGATCTAGGAGTTACAGGATTGTAATAAATAAAAGGTGGGTATTCCCTGGAAAAGGAAATGGCTTCTCACTGCAGTATTCTTGCCTGGAGAATCCCAAGGATGGAGGAGTCTGGAGGGCTATAGTCCATGGGGTCTCAGGAGTTGGACACAACTGAGCAACTTCATTTTCCTTTAGATCTCTAAAAGTGAATGAAAAAAAAAATCCAAGAAGAAAGAGTATTATTGGAAGACCAGAAATCGAGTAATTTTCTGAAAGGTGGAAAGCAAATGGATTACAGAAAGAAAGGAAACCTCTGTCTAAAATATGCTCAGGCAAGAATTGCTGTGCCAGTGGGCATAGTTCTGTGGGAATTCCAAAATCAGAGGTACGGCTCTGGGAGAGTGTCCTGGAGCACTTGCAGGGTGATGAGTTAGAGACCAGGCAGGTCACTGGACTCACAGGTCATTTGTGGCAGCAGTAACATTTGCCCTCAAGGTAAAGCACAAGGGTGAGCACTTAGATGTGTCCTCAAGAGGGCGTTCGTTTAATATGAGTATCTGAACTCTTGGGGGAATGCCAGATAGCTTGATGACTTCAGAGGGCCTGAAAAGGAATCCTAAGGGAACCCTGGCTCAGAGCTATATCCTCAAAGCCATAGCAAGCTTCAGATTCTCCATCACCTTCTATACATACAGTTTTTGAGATATACTTGTAAACTGCTCTTGCATTAGATGTGCAGGTGGCAGAACAAAACTCTCTCAAATTCTAGGTGTCAATAATTTCTCAATAATGATACTTTTTAGAATTAGTAGTGTTCCAGAGAAATGTTACATTCAACATTCTAGTAACAGACTGGTACTAATGGATGAAATTGGTATTCTTTTTTTATTCCACTGAGCTTTTTTTTTTTTTTTTTTATGTATTTATTTTATTTTTGGCTGCACTGAATCTTCATTGCTGTGCCAGACTTTCTTTAGTTGGGGCAATCGGGGCTGCTCTTCCTTGTGGTACAGAGGCTTCTCATTGCAGTGACTTCTGTTGTAGAGCACAGGGTCTAGGGCGTGTGGGCTTCAGTAGTTGTGCACAGGCTTAGTTGCTCCGTGCCACATGGAATCTTCCCCAACCAGGGATTGAACTCGTGTTCCCTACATTGGCAGGCAGATTCTTAACCACTGGACCACCAAGGAAGTCCTGTTCTATTGACCTTCTTTTTCAGAACTAATTTAATAATTCAGCTGGTGTTCTTAACTATTTTTTTTTTTTTAATTCTAAAAGTTCAGTGCCATGAAAGACCCACAGTAGGTGGGTATAGTCTTAATCAGGAAGACTTTTCTTTATCTGACTCCACCATATACAATATTGCCAGTGTTACTGTTGACCTGATTGATTTTTAATAGGTGTATTATTTGTATTAATTGTTAATATGATGAAATTACTTCTTGCGGTCCCTGACGGTGCCTCTTAAAGTCATCTTTTTCTGTCTTCATAAAAAAGTACATCCAGCAATATAAGCAGTCTCTTGGAAGAGACAGAAATTAATCAGTTTGAACACCAGCCTTTAACCCTCCAGTGCAGTCCCATACAATCTCTTAATCTTCAACTTTAAGGCATAAAATTTAAAACTTTAAAAAAATTATATATTTCGGCGGGATTTGGTCTTCGCTGTTGCATGTGGGCTTTCTCTGGTTGCGGCGAGTGGGGGCACTCTTCGTTGCAGTTCACAGCCTTCCCACTGCAGTGGCTTCTCTCGTTGCTGAGCATGGGCTCCAGGATGAGTGGGCTTCAGTAGCTGTGGCACACAGGCTTAGTTGCTTCGCAGTAAATGGCTTCTTCCCAGACCAGAGATTTGAACCTATGTCCCCTGCATTGGCAGATGAATTCCTAACCATGAGGGAAATCCTTAAAGAACTTTTGATATAGTATTTGTCTAATCCTGATTAATATTTAGTTACTTATATACCTCTCCATGAAAATTTTAAGCCTAATGAGAAGACTGCTACTGTGTGATAGTGGGTGTGCCATTTCCCACACACCTGGTGTGGTGTTGAACATGTAGTAGACTCAGTCAATACTTAATGAGTTGAATTTAGTTTAACTGAATGAAATTGAAGTTTCTGTTCTACCTTCCAGAGCTTTTGAAGATCTCCTACCTCCACTGTTTCTTTGAATTTAGACTACTAGGGAGCTAGGGACTATTGGTGCTAAGATTCTGGTCTCCTTGTTAGATATAGTTAACAGTAGCAAAGTAGTCCAATAGTGAGCCAGACCCCAAATTAGGTTATTTTAAAAACAAAATTAGGTTCTTTGTAGCTATTACTCCTTCTACTTTTTTAAATAAGAAAATTGAATGGGCAGATGCCTAGCTATGCTTATGATATGGTAGATATTTAATAGGAGTTTGAGAAATTTAGAAAAAATACATTTAAGAAACACTTCTAATTGCAAGATTTAAGTATAGGAAGAAGGGGTATGACTTTATTTATTTGAACTGTAGTCAGTTGGGGGCTCTGGTTTGTGCTTGGTGGTTTTAGAGCAGAATATACATGACTATTTTGTTTACATTCAACTCCATTTTATGGGTATTAGTGTGAATCTAGTTAGACCAACAGGGAATACACTGAATGGATTCAATTTAAATGTAGGATGGTGTATAGATTTCCATGAGAGCTCACACATAAATGTATATAGCCTTTATACTCTTCTTCATATTGCTCCTTCTTAAGACTCTGGAATTACAAAGTAATGAGGACTCATTTACTAGAAGCTCTATTTTTATTTTTTTCTCCAAATCTGATGTGTTACCTTTTATAGTTTTCTGTTTCCTGCAGGTATCTTTCAGCTCAGTTTTTATTTTCTTTATGTATGGTAAGGATAGTTGTTTTATAGTCTGTGGGGGATGACAGAGGATGAGATGGTTGGATGGCATCACCAACTCAATGGACGTGAGTTTGCGTAAACTCCAGGAGTTGGTGATGGACAGGGAGGCCTGGCGTGTTGCAGTCCATGGGGTCGCAAAGAATCCGGCATGGCTGAGTGACTGAACTGAACTAATGATAATTTCAAGGTATTGAGTCTTACTGGGAGTGTTTTTAATGTCACATTGTTCTCATTCATGTGGTCTACACTCATCATGTGTCTGGTTATCTTTTTCTGTGTGCTAGTCATAGTATTTGGAAAATATCAAGATCTGAGATGAATTAAGTCATGACTCCAGAGAGGATTTGCTTTTATTTCTGTCAGTTGCTTGTGGTCAGCCAGTGTTTCCAAATTCCTGAAGGATAGTAGTCATTGAAGTTCAGAAACAAGAAACTGGAATTCCTGGTAATTCCTAAAATTATAAATTATTCTGTATTTTCTAAAAAAAAAAAAAAAAAAAGGAATTCCTGGTAATTCCTAAAATTATAAATTATTCTGTATTTTCTAAAAAAAAAAAAAAAAAAAGAATTAGATAGTTATGAGAAGCAAATTTGCAAAGACATGATCTAGACTTCCATGAAGGATAAAAAAAAAAAAAAAAAAAGGCTCTTTATATGTTCTTGATAATAGTGATAACTATAATAATAGTGAACAATTTTTCTGTTAGGATTATACTAAAAGTTTCAGAGATTTTATGTATATGTGTATATATATATATGAAATAATGCATGTGTTATTATTATGAACCGAAATGTTAGATTGTATATCTTAATGACATGTAAAATTATTCTCTACCTGATAATAAACTTTGAAATATTTTTTAAGTTTTTACTTTAAAATAATTTTGGATTTGTAAAGAAGTTGCAACAGTAGTAGAGCTCCCATATGCTTTCACTCAGCTTCCCCTAACCCTCATATCTTACATAATCATAAAATATTGATACTTACCAAAGTTAGAAAATTAACATAATAGGTATCTGATAATATAAAATATTAAAAGAAGGGAATATTAACACAAAATGTTAAAAATAGTTTAAAAGCTGTAAAATAATACCCAGATATTTAATATTTAAAAGTGATTTTTAAAGCAAAATTTTAAATACACAAAGCATTGGTTACCCTATCTGATGGCTGATGGTATTGGTGTTTGTTTTATGACTAATATCTCAGACATAGAAAAAGTTTCTGTTGACGTTGGTTGAATTGTTGAGTGTATCCAAAAACGTCTTCAGCGGGGCCATTAGGGTACATGTTGCTTTGCATAATTTTTGTACAGACAGATTTTTATTTTCTAGCAACTACTTGTATTTATTTTTCTTAAGTTTTATTGAATGAAATCAACAGTTGATTTGCAATGTTTTAATTCCTGCTGTACAGCAAAATAATTCAGTTATTCATATACACATTCTTTTTTTTTTAAAAGATGTGTACCATTTTTAAAGACTTTATTGAATTTGTTATAATATTGCTTCTATTTTGTGTTTTGGATTTTTGGCCAAAAGGTGTGTGGGATCTTAGCTCTGCTACCAGGAATCTAATCCACACCCCCTGCATTGAAAGGTAAAA